TTTTTTAATTATTTTTTTTTTATTGACTTTGTGTAGGAATCTATGTAATTCGTTCGATAAGATTAAATGGATTTTCGAGACGGCCTTCAAACATGTTCTAATTGCGAAACGTAATTCATTACGATTGAATCGATTGAAACACTCGGCGTGTACACACGCGCATATAGATTCGATTTCAATTTGGCACGAAAGCAATTAGCGCATTGTAAACAGTAAAATCCTTTGATAATTTTGATGATTACACGTATTAATTTGGTAATTGGTAATTCATTTTTTAGTAATTTGAAATGTCAAAATGACGTTTGTTGCTTTTGATTAATATGTAATATCAGAGTGACATTTCGTATTTTTTGGTTAATTCTAATTCTTATTTGTGGTTGTGTTGTCAAAGTGGCAATTGTTATTTTGAGATGAATTCAAACTGTCAAAATGACGTTTGTTGCTTTTGATTAATCTGTAATATCAAAGTGATATTTCGTATTTTTTTGGTTAATTCCAATACTTATTTGTGGATAATACGTATTGTCAAAGTGGCGTTTCTTATTTTGAGGTGAATTCAAATTGTCAAAATGACGTAATACGTAAATGAATTTTCTAATTTTGTGGTTAATTCAAAATGTCAAAGTGACGTTTGTTGCTTTTGATTAATCTGTAATATCAAAGTGACATTTTGTATTTTTTTTTTGGTTAATTCCAATTCTTATTTGTGGTTAATACGTATTGTCAAAGTGACGATTCTTATTTTGAGTTGAATTCAAACTGTCAAAATGACGTCAAATGACGTAAATGAATTTTCTAATTTTGTGGTTAATTCAAAATGTCAAAGTGACGTTTGTTGCTTTTGATTAATCCGTAATATCAGAGTGACATTTCGTATTTTTTTTGGTTAATTCCAATACTTATTTGTGGTTAATACGTATTGTCAAAGTGGCGATTCTTATTTTGAGGTGAATTCAAACTGTCAAAATGACGTCAATTGACGTAATACCTAAACGACTGTTCTAATTTTGTGGTTAATTCAAAATGTCAAAGTGACGTTTGTTGCTTTTGATTAATCTGTAATATCAAAGTGATATTTCGTATTTTTTTTTGGTTAATTCCAATACTTATTTGTGGTTAATACGTATTGTCAAAGTGACGATTCTTATTTTGAGTTGAATTCAAATTGTCAAAATGACGTAATACGTAAATGAATTTTCTAATTTTGTGGTTAATTAAAAATGTCAAAATGACGTTTATTGTTACTTTGGTTTGTTTAAGTGACATTTCTAATTATAGATTATTTCGAAACGTCAATCAATGACAGTTCCACAAATGAAACAAAACGTTTCTGTTTCTATTCGAATAATAATTTGTAAATAGTAAAGATAGTCGTAAATGACAAATTTAAGTTGATGACAAATAACATAAATTAAGTTAGGAACGTGAATCAACGTCGTTTGTTGATTTTTTTTTTAAATGAAATTATGCTAAATGTATATGTTAACACGTATGATAATAATAATTGTAAAGAAATAATGTAAGTGCGAAATGCGTTGAGAATGCGGCGAGTGTCAAAGTGACGTTTATAAATACGTTTTAGGTGGATTATTTATGCGGCAATGAAACGTTCGGTTTATGTAACGACCCGAGAGACACGTGCCACAACAGTTTTTGCGCAAATTATTGTCTCCCCCTCTTCCACAAAAGTACAAAGTAAGAACAAAAGTGAAAGAGAGCGGATGATTCACCGGAAAAATGGTAAATATAGTAATGCAATGTGAATCATGGCAATTTAAGGTAGAATCTGTCAAAAAAAAAACAAAAATGCAAAATTTTGAAAAATCAAGTTTTCATTGTTCGTCCTCGATTTATTGAGCGTAGGAGGAGAAGTGAACGCAAATTACTCGATAAATGATGCGTTGAGCCCAACAATACTAGTGCGTGGTTGGACAACAACAACAACATCAACAAATTGTTCTTCTCTCAATCACATATTGCTTGTATTATTGTTTAATCTTTCAATGTCATTAAAATGTCCGGTTTCGGTACCATCATTGTTACACAATGTGGCTTTGCGCTCGCGGCTCTCGTTTCTATTTATAGCGGCAATAAGCAATAATAACAATAATAACGGGGATCCGCACTTTCTGGCCTCTCACAGTTTATTTTCGTTGCATTCGATAAAACCCAAGCGCATCGGCGTTCGTTTATTTCACGTTGCCTGGCAACGCGCTACGATTCTGACAGTTGAACGAGGCAACGCGCTATTTCGCACTTCGAATTAACCTTCGTTAACCTCTTCGGAGATAGTTCGGACGACACGCACACAACAAAAGAAGACAGCTAAACGTCAAACTGTGACATGCAACTTACGTAACATGACAACTTAACGTGTCAAATTGTGACAGATGAATGAGAGGGAATGTAACTTACAGCGATTAAGTTCAGGCCGAATCCGACGATGTAGAGGTAGATGCTGGGAACGGTCGAATCCTTGTACGGATGTCGAAGACTCTCGTCGTCGCAGTAGAAGCCCCTGTGGAAAGGTTCCACTGTCACGAAGAGCAGCAAGATCGGAAGTCCCACTGAAAGTGAAAAATAAGAAACGAGTTTAAATTATTAATTCCTTCGTATTTTTCATCATCACTCCTTCTCGTTGGAATGCAATGCGAGGTATTCGCTTGTCCCCTCACCGTTACGGATGGATGGATGGAAGCGTTGAAGGGAAACAGAGAGAGGAAAGAGGGATTCTCTTTTTGAAAGGTGTCTGTAATGGAAATAGCATACGGTAGCACCTATTTACGTGCATGAAAAGAGGGTTGAGGAGGGTTGAGGGTACCGGAATAATTTACGGCCCGTGAAAGTGTCTTTCATGCACGATAAATACTGCCCAAATCGCACCAGCCCGCCGCCCCCTTTGCTACTATTTTTAAAACGGCGGCGCAACAACAGCAACCGACAGGAATTTTCGACCCCTCCGAACGGGAAAAACACACTCACTTCCCATCGAATTCCGCCCAGTTCAACCGTTTTGTTGCACATTGTTGTCTTTCTGGTTATTGAAACCGATCTATACTTACCGATATATACAAAATTGTTGAATTTCATTTCATGAAACGTGTAATATGTTCTAATTACCGACGTTTGACAAGTAGCTGTCAAATGAGTTAATTATGTAATCGATAATATTTGACATTAGTTTATTTGACATTTAATTCCTAATTTTTGACGTTTCACAATTAATATCATTGAATGACTTTAGTAAGGTTAACAAATTTCGACATTTCATCTCAATCTGACAGTTGCCATTATGCAATTGACATATGTGTCTAAATGTAACTCATTCGCCGATGTTTTTATTTTACATGAATAAAACGGATATATGAGAAAGTGTAACAAAAATAGATCAAATATTAATTTTCGTTTAAATACACCAAGGACATCTTAATTTGTAGCATTTTCAGATAAGATACGCAATTTAAACATAATCTATGTGCAATACGATGTGTATTAAAAGAGATTATCTAATTTGTTTATTTGACTGGAAAAAAAATGCAAAGTTTTTGAATACGCCATCTATGGGCTTAAACGAATTTAAAAAATACACATCAACGAGGTAAATGATCTATCTCTCGTTTTTACACAATACTTTCTTTACACGTTTTTCTCAAATACTTATTTTTATATTTGTCTAATAATATTTTCATGCATTATTTATTACGCCATCTATCGACGCAGCAATTTTATCTAATTAAATAGAAATTAAACTTGTTCATATCTATGCAAATATCGTGTTACATAAGCGAATATTATAGTAGATTCGATACGCCATCTATTGCGATCGACCGTAACTAATTAAGCGGAAAGTCAAACGCGAAAGCTGAGGTGTTTTAATTAGGAAACGGAAAGAAAGTAAATTAACATAATTACCGACGTTGGACAAGTAGCTGTCAAATGAGTAACGTATGTTAATTATGTAATCGATAATATTTGACATTAGTTTTTTTGACATTTAATTCCTAATTTTTGACGTTTCACAATTAATATCATTGACTGACTTTAGTAAGGTTAACAAATTGTGACATTTCATCTCAATCTGACAGTTGCCATTATGCAATTGACATATGTGTCTAAATGTAACTCATTCGTCGATGTTTTTATTTTACATGAATAAAACGGATATATGAGAAAGTCTAACAAAAATAGATCAAATATTAATTTTCGTTTTACTACACCAAGGACATCTTAATTTGTAGCATTTTCAGATAAGATACGCAATTTAAACATAATCTATGTGCAATACGATGTGTATTAAAAGAGATTATCTAATTTGTTTATTTGACTGAAAAAAAAATGCAAAGTTTTTGAATACGCCATCTATGGGCTTAAACGAATTTAAAAAAAATACACATCAACGAGGTAAATGATCTATCTCTCGTTTTACACGATACTTTCTTTACACGTTTTTCTCAAATACTTATTTTTATATTTGTCTAATAATATTTTCATGCATTATTTATTACGCCATCTATCGACGCAGCAATTTCATCTAATTAAATAGAAATTAAACTTGTTCATATCTATGCAAATATCGTGTTACATAAGCGAATATTATCGTGGATTCGATACGCCATCTATTGCGATCGACCGTAACTAATTAAGCGGAAAGGCAAACGCGACAGCTGAGGTGTTTTAATTAGGTAACGGAAAGAAAGTAAATTAACATGTGCTTGCAATTAATGTGTGTGTTTTGCTAATTTAATGCTCGTAAATAGGATTACGCGGATTGACAGCGCGGACTGTTAATTCAATCGGCGGAGAGCGAAGATAATGTGACAGCTGTCAAAAGATGAGAGCAGAGTTAATTGACGTTTCGAATAGACTTAAATTTAGCCCACCGTAACGAATCGAATCCGATTGCGTTGCGTTGCGTTACGAATGCGTTGCGTTGCGTTGCGTGGGAACGAATGGACCACCGTTTCACATTCGATCTATTCTGTTTGCGGTTTCGTGTTTTGTTTGTTGGTTTGTTTGTTTTTCGCATCGCGACAAATGGGATAAAAGCAAAGGGAATCAAGGCGCCAGACAAAAGAGCGTCGACGCATTTCGAATCGATACAAGGATCCGGGCGGGTCTTGCTTGCCTGCCTGACGCGAAATAGGGGGAAAAAAACCAGAGACTTTTCATTATTGCAATCGATATTACCGAATTTGCGTTCTTTTCAATAGAAAGGAAACTCGATTCAATGAATTAAAACTATATTTATGACCAAATGACAAATTTTGAAGAAATGTCAAATTTTAAAATTCATTACTTATACGTCAAATTAAGAAAATTGGTTTGACAGTTAACGTCAACTATTATTCAATAATGTGAAATTGTCAAATTATGGAAATTAGGTTAGCAATGAAAACGAAAGTTAATATAATTATGATAAAGGGTGTACCAAAATTAACGCAAGATTTGAATTTGCCGCCCTTTATGCAGTAAAGTATCAAAATGTTTTTTTTTGGGGTTTCCAACACTTTTCTGCACAAATGGTGGCAAATTCAAATCTTGCGTTAATTTTGGGACACCCTTTATAAGCTTCAATAACAAATTTTTGAAGAAATGTCAAATGTTCAGATTTTCATAACTTGACAAGAATCAAAATAAAATTTGAAATAAGAAATGGACTTCAAATTATGAAAATTAATAAACATCAGTTTATGTTGGCAATGAAAAAAAAAAGAGGAACGTCAAATGTAAATAATGTTAATTTGCTGATACAATTATCGCATAAATAATCGCAAATTAGATACATTTCAATCAATGAATTTAATCAAATAGGATTTTATCATATATAAATATGATTAGAAACGAGTACGGAAACGTGAAACGTCAAAAAAATATGCTAATGCAGTTGCATAACATTTAGTTTAATTCTGTCAAATTTAAATATTTCATAGAAGAAACACCTTGTATATAAATAAACGAAAACGAAGAAGAACAAGAAAATATGAATAGTTTAAAATCCTATTACGTAAATATAATTTTATAATTATTTATTATTAGAAATGTTTAATTGAAATATTAGAAATAATTACGAAACATCAAATATAAATAATGTTAATACAGTTGCATAATTTATTGACATTAAAAATTTAAATATAGAGAGAATCACCCTGTATAAAACAAAATAATAAAGAACAGGAAGACGCTACTTATTTGTTTTACTTTTAACTTCTGAGAAGCAAAAAAAAAAAATGTGTATACAGAAAAACTTGCTGCTCTAAATAAATATTTTTACAGCAGCAGCAGGAGAGCAAAAGGGCACTAAACGCTAAATAATAACAAACAAGGAAGAAAAAATACGAAAATAGCCGAAAAACGTAGCAATCTTACAAAGTAATATGGCTTTAATCTTTAAACAAGTGATAACGATTGCGCGTTTAAGTTTAAATATTGGTATACGAGATAAGGAAATGAATTGCGATCACGATAAATGATCAATCAATCAATTAAATTGATTTTATACTAAAGAAAAAAAAATCTTCAAAATTCTTTCGAATTGGAAATAATCAAAAATAAAATTCTTGTGATTTGTTTTTGTTTTGTATTTATTTTGTTTGTGTTTTGTTTTTTTCTGTCTCGATGGTGGTAAGATGATGGTGAAAACAAAATTGGAGCAAGCGCGCAAGGATCAAACAATTGAAGTAGGTTAGTGATTGTATTTGTTTTTTTTTGTTTATTTGGGACTTACATGCAAGTAGAATGCAGATCTCCAAGCCGACCCTAAACCATTTCACCGAGATGGTCTGGGCGTCCGATTCCATGGTAACAACAATAACAATTTTTATTGAAACAAAAGCTATTGGTATGGAAACTAATTTTTTTAGGAGAGATATAGAGAGAATATCGAGTTGTGTGTCCAATAGATCGCGGGATACAATGACCTTCCTTCCTTGCCGCAGCAGCTACATCACACGGAGATATCCGAGCGAGATCTGATCCTCTCCACAAAACTATTACTATACTACAACTACTCTCCTCCTATCTTTCTCTCTCTATGTTTTGAGGAGACTCGAGAACGCGTCGTTTCTATCCGACGTTACGGACTGACTGACTGCTGTAGTTGGCGGCGGCGGCAGGAGCGTATGGGGCGGATGAGTGTGCGCGCAACACGCTTTCACCTCTTCGAAACACAAGAATCTATATACCTTCACCATCACCTGAGAAGCACCACCGTCGTTCCATATTCATTAGCCACCACTACAATCCGAAGACGACCTCCACAGATCATCGAATACCGATAACGCGTTCCACCGTAACGACCCATAAATGACAATTAGCGTCAAGCGCTCAAGCTCACCATTATCCACGCACTTCCAATTATCGAAAACATTACTTTTTTTACTTGATTCACATTCACTTTACATAATCAAATTCGTAACTACTTACAACAACAACGACACAACTGTCACTTTACGAAACGTCAGTTGAGCGTATCGATTAAACGTCAAAAACGAATTAACCTTTAAACTGTAGCACATGAATATATGAAAATCTATAAATCTACCAATTCTATTTATAAATCTTACCTAATTGATAAATTTTACTTAATCATTTGTCACTTAATCAACTGTCATTTTGCTAATTACATAATCAAACTATCATAGTTACAACATCACAACTGTCACTTTACGTCAGTTAAACATGCGGATTAAACGTCAAAATCAAATTAACCTTTAAACTGTAATACAACTTACTCATCATCATTAGAACTGTCATTTTACAAACCGTCAGTTAAGCATATGGAATAAACGTCAAAATCGAATTAACATTTAAACTTTAATACAACTTACTCATCGTCATTACAACTGTCATTTTGATAAACGTCAAATTTTTCTTTTTTATCTTTACGTGGCATTACATAATCAAATTCCTCACTATTATAATTACAACATTACAACTGTCACTTTTCAAAACGTCAGTTAAACATATGGAATAAACGTTAAAATCGAATTAACCTTTAAACTGTAATACATGAATATATGAACAACGCATTACTTAACATATTATTAAGGTGAAAATCTATAAATCGACCAATTCTATTTATAATTCTTACCTAATTGATAAATTTTACTTAATCATTTCAACTGTCATTTTTCTAATTACATAATCAAATTCCTAACTATCTTAGTTACAACATTACAACTGTCACTTTTCAAAACGTCAGTTAAACATATGGATTAAACGTCAAAATCGAATTAACCTTTAAACTGTAATACAACTTACTCATTATCATTAGAACTGTCATTTTGATAAACGTTAAATTTTAATTAACCTTTTCTAATTATAAGACTAATCAATAAAAATGTCACCGAACCTGTCAAATGTTTTTTTTATTCTCTTTCCGTGGCATTACATAATCAAATTCCTAACTATCATAGTTACAACATCACAACTGTCACTTTACAAAACGTCAGTTAAACATATGGAATAAACGTCAAAATCGAATTAACCTTTAAACTGTAATACAACTTACTCATTATCATTAGAACTGTCATTTTGATAAACGTTACATTTTAATTAACCTTTTCTAATTATAAGACTAATCATTTTGTCAGAAACGTCATCAATACAAATGTCATCGAACCTGTCAAATTTGAACATATGAAATCATCATTTATATAAAAATCTGATTTAAATCCTTTGCAATTAAAAAGTGCACAATAAAATTATTAAAAAAAAACTTTCACTCACGAACATTATCAAAATCTATAAATTGACCAAACCTATTTATAATTCTTACCTAATTGATAAATTTTACTTAATCACTTCAACTGTCATTTTGCTAAACGTCAAATTTTTTTTTTCTCTCTCTTTACGTAACTATAATAGTTACAACATGACAACTGTCACTTTACAAAACGTCAGTTAAACATATTTTAATCCATATGTCAATCATTTTGTGAGAAACATCATCATTACAATTGTCATCGAACCTGTCAAATTTTAACATATGAAATCATCATTTATATAAAAATCTGATTTCAATCTTTCGCAATTAAAAAGTGCGCAATAAAATTATTCAAAAAAAAAACTTTGACTCACGAACGTACACATAAATTATTCATACCTTGAGTATAAATTTAAAAAACAAAAATACATTGCAAACTTGAAAATCCACATAAAAATTTAATAAAAAATTTAACAATTTTTCTATTAAAATAATTTATAGTACATTGACACATTAGATTATTGATATCCAGCATTCCGCCCAGAAATTGTTGATTATATGAAATTAACACGTTTTCATATTGGATTTCACGAGCAATAAAAAATCAATTAGTTTCAAATTAGAATTCATCAAAGCGTTCATTTTTTTTTTAATCGCTTGATAAACGTCAAACTTGACACAACTGTCTAATCAAATTACATTATTCATATAGAGATACTTAAAACGAAATAAAATTGTGAAAATCCAATCAAATTACGTAAATTAATTATCAATTTAATTATTCTCTTGTTTGCAATATATACGCAATGAATTATGCAACAAATTAAACGTCAAACTTTGACAGATTTGTCAAATAACAACTGAATGGTGCAATTGAAATCTAGCATTTTCATATTGGATTTTTCGAGCAATAAAAAATCAATTAGTTTCAAATTAGAATTCATCAAAGCATTCATTTCTTTTTTTAATCGTTTGATAAACGTCAACTTTGACACAACTGTCTAATAAATTACATTATTCATATAGACATACTTAAAACGAAATAAAATTGTGAAAATCCAATCAAATTACGTAAATTAATTATCAATTTAATTATTCTTTTGTTTGCAATATATACGCAACGAATTATCAACAAATTAAACGTCAAATTTTGACAGATCTGTCAAATAATAACTGAATGATGCAATGACAATTGAAATCTATCATTTTATTTGAGGTTTAGGTGAGGTCTCGTTAATTAGATCATTTGGTTCGTGT